TAGAGTTGTATTGAACATTCAGTTTCAGAAAGTTAAGTTACCGAACCATCTTACTCACAAGGTTATAAGAAAGGAAATTTAAACCATCTGTTGAATTTTACTTTTGATGTTTGAGAAGGTAGGCGATAAAAATAAGGGATTAAAACATCCAAAATATAATAAGGAACTCTTGTTGTAAGTCTTCTAATATGATTTTTCAGTAAGAAATTTTCTTGTGTATATTTGAAACAATTTTAAAAGAAAAATTCAAAACCAGTAATTTCCATTTAACTACTTCCTGTTCATTTTTTGCTTAGTATTTTAAACTGGGATTTTGTATTTCACTTACACATCTAAAAATAATTAAAACTATTGGTTCAAATAATTTTATTTTAAATCAGATTTAAAAGAAAAATTCAAAATCTGTGATTTCCATTTACAAGTTATGTGATTCTGAGGTGCTTTGGTGGTATTGTTTTTTTCCTTTCTCCTTTAAACTTCAGTTTAGTACTGTATAACCAGTTTTGGTTCTATCATCAAATAGCAATTATCAATAATTTTTGTTATTTTTATTATTGTTAATACTTATTACTTTTTTTATCTTATAATATGAAATATGATATTACCATTTTATACTTTGAATTGACCAAGGTGAATGGAATGGGTCCATTTGGAAAAATTCACTAATTTCCAAAGTTTTTTTTTTTTACACAATTTTTTTGTTGAATCTTTACAGTTTAAAATTTACTGTCTTATCTTTTATCAAAATAAAATCAGGTTTAGTAATAATTGAAATTTTATTTCAAATTGACTTAATTTTTATTTATTACAAATCAATTTTTTATTTAAATCTGTTAGTAGTACGCTTCACATTGTTGTACCACAATAATAGCGTTTCTAGACAGCATTGTCTGGCCTAACGAGAATTTTTTTAAAAATACAAGTTACTCTCAATGTGTTAATAACAATTGTCAGCTTTTAAGCTTCATCTAACAAATTTTCTTTGTTTTAATGAATTTCATTGTGGTCCCGACTTGTACCCTGATTAACATTGATAATAATTTCTGATTTTTATAATAGTATTTTCTTTTTTCCAGACTTAAATTTTTTTCGGCAACACTTTGGGTGAAGATTTTGACTAGGATCATTAAAGTGTATCAGAAGGTAAGCTGTAGAACACCATGTGTGCTTTTTTAAATTATTTATTATGTATGAAAGTAATGAAACTTTATTTAAAATTTTATGTTGCCAATTCGTTGCAAGGGATAATGGAGATTATTCTATGTATCAAAACAATCCAGATAAGCTTGTAGAGTGGTCATTAGTTGAAGAAATAGTATGTGCAGATTTTCTGTGAGATAGTCTGTCACATTGGGAAAAGTAATTTTTTTATTTTATTACGGCACATTTGTTTTCTGTTTTAATCATGCTGTTAGTAAATGTATAGTTTTATGTAATTTATATTACATCGAGTAGCCTGCACAAGAATTATTTTCTTAGTTAATTACTTTTAGTTAATTTTTTTTTGCTAATAACTTCATAAGAAATTGAAAATTTTGTTTTAAGATATAATTTAATTGTTATGCATCAACAAAGTGCTCAAAAATTTTATCTCTTAATTTAAAATAATATTGTTTAGGTTTTAATTAAAAAGTAACATAATAGATAAAAAAATTTTTTTAACCAATTGAAAATTTCTGCAATAGTTTTTGTCCTTGTACATATCTCAGAATTTTGTATTTCTTCAGCGTTTAACATGTCATGATGCCATCTTGCCCAATTTGTCTTCACATTTCAACTGCTGCAAAGATGTGTGGACATGTTTATTGCTCTCCCGGCATTCTACATTATTCGGCTTTAACTGATAAATCTTGGCAAAAATGTCCTATTTGTTTTGAAGCAGTGCAGAAAATTGATTTAAAAGGGTAATTTTATTTATTTATTTATTATATTGTGAACTTGACAGTTTCTTGATGGTGATTTGAAATTTCAACTAAATATAAATAAAGAATAATTAAATTTTCTACTTTAAATGGTTATTATCTGTTTTTGTTCATTTATTATCTGTTTTTAGACTTATTATTTAATTACTGAAGTATTGTTTCTCATCTTATTTAAATATATATATATATATATAAAATTCAATGAGGGAAAGTAAAGTTAGTTATATGTTTTCAGTCTTTTGGTGGATTTTATTTATTTTTTCTCTTATAAAAAAAAATGAGTTAAGACAAGCAAAAAATTTAAGATAACAATAATTTGTCTTTTTTTTTTATATTTCACAATTTGCTGTCTGTATGTATATCTATCCGTCTATCTATCTGTATATAATATAAAAACTGTTGTTTGTTGGTATTCTTGTTTAAGAAAATGTTTATAAGACTCTTTGCTTTTAATTTCCTACACGGTGAGGGCTTTATTATGTAATAATAAAATATTAATGATTAAATTAAATAAAGTGAGATTATTTCCTATAATTATATATTTTTTAGCAATCATAAGTCTTCAGTATATTTATATTTTTAAAGTATAAAGATTTGTATCTAATTTTTTCTACCCTTTTAAAATATGGATACCTACATTCTGTTTTAAAATTTTCAATTTTTACCACATTTACCCCTGTTGAAAGTAAAGACAATTTTAGAAGTCAGAAATTAAAAGTGCTAAGCACATTTTTGTTGCTTAGATAACTTTTTACTTCTGAAATCTTAAATTCTTAGTTCTTGTCTTATGATAGCTAATTATTTTTAACATATAATATAGCTGTTGGAATGCCTTTGCTTTTCCCTTTATCTTTTTAAACACACAAGTTTAAAGGTATTGAAAAAAATTTAAAATAATTTTTTAAATTTATTCTTTGTGTTTTTTTTAAACAGTGTTTCCATAAAACTATGCAAGTTCTGTAACTGTTGGAGATGAAATTAAATTATGCTTAATGAAAAGATAGAAAGGATCACTGATTTCTTTACCAGTTTCTATTGAAAATGCTCATACAGCTATATTTACTGTCAATGACGATATGTATTTTTTTTTATAAATAATTTTTTACAATAATTTGTTACAATTTAATGTATTTGTTACAATATAATATATTTGTTACAATAATGTTTTACATTTGGTGTTGGGTAATTTCAAATTCTTGCCCTTTTTGATTAGTTATCAACAATCAATTGTATATTTTTTGTAAAAAAACTGAACAACTTGTGCAGGAGGGAAGGAGACTTGCGGCAGAAATTAGCCTGCTGCGACTTATGTCATTACATAAGTAATTATAAATATAAAATCAGTATGAAAACGCTCATTGAACTAGTAAAATCCGAAACCAGAATGGGAGAGGAATGACTTATGTCATTACATAAGTAATTATAAATATAAAATCAGTATGAAAACGCTCATTGAACTAGTATTTATAAATATCTTCATGAACAGAAAAATAAAAACTTTGTTAATGAATTTAGAAAGACTGAGAAACTTCCGAGTCAACCCCCGCCCCCATCATAAATTCAGTTAGATATTAGAAAAAGAGAAATGCATTAAAAAGTTGTTGTTGCTAATTCCCATCTGGTCTGACGGGGTCAGACCAGATCAATGAATCCGTTGATATTAAGAAAATCCGAAACCAGAATGGGAGAGGAATGAATGTCGTTCCAATCCAGCCCTAAACAGTTCAAGATGTGAAAAATAATAATCATTGCCACAACTATCACCGTTCACTTGCAATCAAAAATTGCTCTTTATGCAAACTTGCAGTTGTAGATGCCATGATTGGGAGAAGTGATCTTCGCCAAACTTCTAACCATCTATGTACTATTGTAAGCAGTCAATAAAATTTTTTCCTCTACTGGTTTCTTGCGTACAACAATGACCCCCCTTCAAGAGCGTTGTACTCATTGATTAGAGGAAATCATGCTGTCTACACAAATGTATTGCGACCACCTTTAGTGGAAATGACTAAATAGCTCTTCTAAGCTTTGTTTTGTAATTTAAGCTGCAGATTTTCTGTCCAGTCCAGGGGCTCAACGCTTGATGGGTGTTAAATTTTATTAATTTCCCTAGTCTCCAAATCTTATTATATTTTAAAAATCTCCCTAAAGTTAGAAAAGTGTCTGAAAAAACCCTTAGCTTAAGAGATTTTTTTTCTTATCTCATTATTTGCTTAAGAATATATGTGTGTAATGTGAACTATTAAATAGTAATATTTAATTAAAGGAATGTTCTAGGTGATTCCAGAAATTACTTATGGCTGGTCAGAAGGAAGTCTTTTCTGTCATTGAAAGAGAGAGAGCTGCTTATGAAATGGACACTCCAGTGGCTTGCTTTATGGAATCTGCCTTTACTGTAAGGTCAAAGTTATGCCAATAATTTAATGATTTTCAACTTATCTGATTCGTTGTTTTTAGTTTAAGTTTAATTTTTAAAATTTATACCTGTGATATTAATATTTCTTGTATTTTTTATGAACTGTAACAGTTAAAAATAATTAATGTTTGAAAAGTTAATGTATTAATGAAAATATTTGAGCTGAATATTGTCTCTTGATAAAATCTCATTGAATAATATAATATTTTACAGAGTGTTCACTATCCTTATATTACTTATAGGTAAAATAAATTTGAAAGAATTCTCATAAAAACATGGATCATATTTCACTTCATGCTTAATATCTTTTTTAAGTGAATTTTGCTCTGATGTTCGTTACATGCAATGTTTTCAGAGTTTAATGCTAACACTGCCCAGAAAAAGTGAAATTTCATTAAACTTTTGTTTGTGTATAGAGAAGACCACTGTGAATTTTTTGATTAATTGATTTATTGAAAAATTTTACTGTTATTTATTTCACAAGTGTTCATTAAAAGAAGATAACTGTATCCCCACAACCTGTTGATAACATTCGTCAACTTTTATCACTTAAAAGATTTAATTTGGTATTTAACATTCTAAAGTTTTTTTCTTCTTTGCAGCTACTTCATGAAAGGGATATTGCTTTAAACCAGAATGTAGATCAACTTAAGGAGCTCATTTATAGAAGCAATGTATGTGATTTTTTTAAAAAAATTTATTGGAACAAAGTGTTTGTTTTTTAAAAACAAAATTAGCAAGCAAAATTTTTAATTTTGTTTCTTCTTTGAATTATTTGAATATTATATTCTTGCAAACAATGTCTTTTTATGACTTCTATAGCTATATATTACCTCGGAAACAAATTTCTTGTCTAAACCTTTCTATTATTTTCCCTTTTTTGGTGGGCATAAGTATAAGAGCATAATTTCATAAATGCCAACTCTATTGTTTTTAACAGGAGTTGTATTTTGCTACTGCCTTCCAATTTTTATTATCTCGAAAATTTCCCCCTCTTTTATTATCTATATATATATTTCTCTTACACGGCGATAAAAAAAAGCCTCATTACAACTCCCCGAATGGCAACGCNGTTTAAAAAAATCCTCTTAATTTCATCATTAATCTGTTTGTGCTCAAAAGAGAGCGCCAGTAAAACTGTTTCATATCAGACAGTATCTTTGCCTCTCATTGGATGAACTACATTCATGCTTAGTTACATTTCTGCTGACACTGACTTAGTGAGAATATGCTCTTAGATATAATTTCAAATTGAATGAAGGGAAGCTTTGGTCTATATTTGTTTATATGTTTTTTATTATTATTAAGTAATAAAGATTGATTCATATAGAATAATNCTGACACTGACTTAGTGAGAATATGCTCTTAGATATAATTTCAAATTGAATGAAGGGAAGCAAAAGTTTGGTCTATATTTGTTTATATGCTTTTTATTATTATTAAGTAATAAAGATTGATTCATATAGAATAATTATTTTATTAATTTTGCAGGTTTTTAAAAAATACAAAAAGACCTTTTAAAATAAAAATTCTAGATTCTTTTCAAAATTTTTACTATCTTATTTATCTATAAATTAATAATTAAATTATAGCCTAATTTTATTGATTTGAGTTTACAAAGCTTGACATTCATTTCTATGATGTAAATTTTTCGGACAATTAAGCTTAAATTTTTCAGTCACTTTTTTCCCCCTTATTGCTGCTTGCTTTAAATAAAGCTATTTCAAGTTTTTATCTTTTTTATGGTTTTCAAATAATATAAGAATGTAATTTATGTGGAAAAATTGTTTATTGAAATTTAATACATTATATACATATACTAAATCTTTTACTTCATATTGCTATCTTAAAATGCGATTAATATGTCTAAGGTTTTAAGAATGAAAGGTTGGTGACATGTACATATTTTAATTTTAGTGTCTCTAATTTTAGGGTTAAGATAATTTTTCTAAGGTTAAGATAATTTGTCTAAGGTTAAGATAATTTGTTTACATTTTGTTTAAGAATATTTTTTGCAGTTAGTTCATTTAGAAAAAGTTCATTTAGTTCCTTTAGTTCCAAAGTTCATTTAGTTCCTCAAAAACATATACTACTTAAAAAAATTAGAATTAGTTTAGTTAACTTGTTAAAATTATCTCTTGTAAAATAAAAATATTTACATTAAATTTTGTATAAGTTTTATATAATTGCATTTTAGGGTAATGTACCAGAGAGAAAACATCTTATTTCAACAAGTTCAACTGAGTCTTATGAAGAATTACATGAAAGTATGTTGTTTTTACCTATCATATAGTGTTATCATATATTTGTTAATAAAAATATGTTAATGCATAAAAAGAATTAAAATTTTAATGTTTCTTTCCATTTTTTCTTAGTTTCTTTTAAGATGCAAATTTATTAATTACATGTATAAATATTAATTTCCGACTGAAAAATAAGAAAAAGTACAAGTTCTTATATGTTTCATTGTAGACATAATTAATTGATGATTGACATCTAAAGATGGTTATTTGAAGAATTTCTGGAGAAATTGTTTCAGTTGCAGCTGCAATTCAATTTTTTAGAATCCTTTAATTCAATATCGTTTTTACATGCACACATTTTTTTGATGTATCACCAGAAAGTCTAGCGGTAACAGGTTTTTGTGCAGTCCAAAAATCCAGTCATTTCATCTATTTCATGAATTGGGTAACCTCTCATTTAAGGTTTCATTTCAGATAGGAAAAATTATGAGAATATTTTGGCCTGTATTAAAATCATGCTATTCCCAGTTACAGCTTTAAAATTGTTATCTTGTGTACTTAAATTTTCAGTAGATTAAAGAAAAGTTTTCCAAACTTGCTAAATGTTTTCAGTTAATATGTCAAAAATTAAAACATGTATATGTTAATTATGAAAATTTCTATGTGTTAAAAATTAGTATAAAACAGGTTTTTTTAAAATTTTTCCGGGAAGTATTTGCTGTAAAAAAAAAAGTGTTAGCATTGAATGTGTCGTGTTTTTATTTGTTAGTAGTCTAAATGAATTAGCAAATAAAAAGTATCACCAGACATAAACCTATTGTAATCCCATTGAGAAAAATCAAAACAATCTCGTCATTCTCTGAGTTTGAAATAAATGTTATTGTGCGTAAGTTTAAAAAATGAATAAATAAAAAACTGTGGATTTTAAATATTTGTCCTAAAATAAAAAATTGTTATGGTGAAATTTATTGTTCAGAGCAAGCTTAAATAATGAAATGACCCTATGTCTGTTATTGTACTTTATTGTCCAATTAAATAAATACAGTACTTAGCCGTGAAATGAAATTCAATGATCCATAATGAATCTCTAATGCATAGGTGAGGTTTTAACTTGTAAGTTACTGAATTGCAGTCACTCTAATTCTATTTTAGGAAGAAAAAAAATATTTAAATTACTGAAAATTCTTTTAGTGTTTCAAAATGTCTGAATAGCATGGAATATGTGATGCAAGTATGAATTCTATTTCAGACTGTGAAAGAAAAGGGGTGACATTTTTCTAACGGTATTTATCTATGTTTTACTGCATTATTATACTATAAAGTTGAAATAATTTCTCTTTTATCTTTAAAGTGTGAAGAATCTTAATAAGTTTTTAAAATATATTTTCCCCCTTTTTTTTTTCTTTCTTGTCATTCTTATTTATTTTGTTAAGCAAACCAAAGTAATTTATTGTTATGTTTATTCTACACGTAGATAGTTTGAATTTAAAGTAATCTAAAGTATTGTAACTGTTTCATTCTTTGTTTCATTTAACTTTAGCTGAAGATGGGCAACACATTTGTATTCACAACATAAATGTAAAGATGTTGTTAAAAGAATATGGCTCCTTGGAATTTGCTCCTGAGACAATTACAACTAAACTTGTTGAAGTTGAAAGAGTCGCCATGACTGAAGTAAGTAATCCGCTTGTTTTAAACTTCCTTCTTCTAAAGCTTTTTCGCTGAATAAAATTTTACACCATATTTCATGCATTCATACGGGTTCTTCGGAAAAGGTTGAGATATCTTTAACATTTGCTGTTAACCTGCAAATTCCATATTGCAGAATTCAATTTTTCTTCTGTCGTCTCAAAAGAGACTATGTCTCAGTTTAAAGGTAAGCTCTACGTTGTTTTCATATTTGAGAATAACAGTCATGAAATACTTTTTGTTAATTTTATTTGCTGCAANTTCATATTTGAGAATAACAGTCATGAAATCCTTTTTATTAATTTTATTTGCTGCAAAAGGGATACTTTAAGAATTATTTTTAATTATATTTTATAATATTAAATTATTATTAGTTAGATAGCTGAAAAAATGTGCGTCATATTTTGTTTTGTTTGCCATGATTTTAAACTTTTATGAAAAAAATATGTGTGGCACTTGAATAAATATTGTGGAGTACTTAAGGAAGTATTTTTAATTCTTTCATAAATATTGTGTAGCAATTTGAAATTTCAATTATTATTTTTATTGCAAAGAATTGATTGAAAAACAATTTTATTGCTCCAAATCCGATATTGATTTGCTAGAAAGCAAACAGGATAATTTAATTTCTTTCATATCAGAATTTATTTAACTGATAAAAAAACTTATGCTAAGCTTTACTTCCTCTCCTAGACAACAATTAAGTAGTTTGCTTTGCATAAAAGCTACCTTCTTGTTGGTACAAGTTCTTCAGTTTAATTTGTATCTTTTGTTATGTTTTTTATTATTATTAATTAAGTATAAAATCTATGGCTTTAAAAATATTTTTTATTCTTCGCTTTCTTTATAAAGTAATAAAAAATCAATAGAATAAAACTAAAATTTAACTTTTATCAATCAAAAAAGGAAGAAGAAAAATATTTATTAATGTATTTTGTTTTTGTAGGTGTAGTGCCTTTGCTTGCTAACTTATCTCTTTTGTTTGTCTACAGGGTTCCCACGGTCCTTAAAATCTTTAAAAATTGCTCAATTTTTATTTTGGAAAATAAGGGCCCTTAAACGAACTTAGTTTTGATACATTGTTTTTTAAAGTCCTTAAATTTTCAGCATCAGTATAGTTCATAGGAACAATTTTTTAAAACAAAAAGTCGTTTTTTTTATCGCTTAGAATTAAACCAACAATCAAGGGTAAAGCATTTTAGAGAGACAAATAGGAATATGTGTGTGGGGGGGAGGGCTAC